AGAGCCCAGACAGAGAAGAAAGAAAGGAAGGAAAAAAAAGAGGGTGAGTGAGCAAAAGAGAACAGAGAGAAATAACTTGATGTAATCGGCATCTTGTGTGGCTTGTTACGAATAAAATATAAAAAAGACCTGCCTAGCAATCACCAACCCCATGTGTCAAAATAAGTATAGCCGCCCGGCTATACCAAGGTTTTTTTTTTTTTTTAAATATTTAAAGAAAATGTATAGCTATACTTGTTTTGACATGTGGGGCCTAATCGCTAGTTTTTTCTGTGCGGCTGTACTGTATAAAAAAAAATATATAGTATAGCCGTTCAGCTATACGTTTAAATATTTTTTTTTTTCCCTGACTTTAGAGAAAACCCAAGTTTTATGTCTAACTACAAACAAGTGTATACCAATCTAAAATGTTGAAATAGTCAGGTTTGTCGTCCGAGGCTACTAGGGGACTATGAGCACTCTATTCGCATTGCCTTTGTTGAGTTTGTGATGGTAATTGCTTATTTCTCAATGTTTTGCATGCTGTATCTTTATTTTCTTAGTATTGTTACATGGTCACCTGTTTAGTAGTTTAATCACTACACTAGCAATGAGTTTCAGAACGTAAAAATAGACAGTCCAATCCAATGGCTTCTTCGTTGGAGGGGAAAATCCATCCCAAAATAAATCTGAGCCTGAGGATTAAATTACAAAGGACGAGGAAGAAAGCTTCTGCTATGCCATGCAGCTGGTGGGTTCTTATGCGCTGTCCATATCTCTGCAATCAGCAATTCAGCTTGGCTTTTTCGACATCATATCCAGAGAAGCTAAATCTTCGTCTGAGATTGCAGCCAAGATTGGCACCCATGATGATGGATAGGATCCTTAGGCTCCTCGCCAGCAGGTCTTCTCCTTTTTATTTTTATTAAATAGTGCGGCCGCGCGGCTATAACTCGGGTATTATATATTTTTTAAATAGTCTAGCCGGGCGGCGATACCTGTTTTGAAACCTGGGGCAATAATCGCTAGCAGGTCCTTTTATTTTATTTTATTAAATAGTATAGCCGACCGGCTATACTCGAGTAATTTTTTCGAAATAGTATAGCCGGGCGGCGGCACTGATATATAGCCGCCTAGCTATACTTGTTTTGAGACGTGGGCTCGTAGTCGCTAGGCAGGTCCTCTTGTTTTAATTTTATTAAATAGTATAGCCACACGGCGTTACGTGGGTTATATTTTTTAAAAAAATCGTGTAGCCCCCCGGCTATACTTGTTTTGACACAAGGGCAATAATCTCTAGGCAGGCCCCTTTTTTTTATAATTAAATAGTATACCCGCATGGCTATCCGCGAGTATTTTTTATTTTTTTAAAATAGGATAGCCGTGCGGCTATATTTGTTTTGACACGTGGCCACCGAATCACTAGGCAGGTCCTCTTCTTTTTATTTAAAAAATGGTATAGCCACTATACTTGTTTTGACACGTGGGACCTAATCGCTAGGCGCGTTTTTTTTTTAAATAAATAGTATAGCCGGGCTGCTATACTCGGGTATTTTTATTATTATTATTATTTTAAATAGTATACCTGGACGGCTTTACTGGAGTATTTTTTTATAATTATTTTTTATAAATAGTATAGCCGAAACAAATTACAAGGTGCGGAAACAAATTATTGTACTATAGTTACATGTATCTCGCTGACAAAGTGAAGAATGTTCACATATTTATCAACAAGGAGTTTTTTCATCTGACATTGCTACCCTCTCGAGGAGTACTACATGCATGAATGGCCCTCCAACCCTCCATCTTTCAGGTACATAGTATACAAGAAAGAGGTCGGCCGTTTGGAAATTTATGTGGTCAGACAAATACTTATATGTAACATGCACTTAGCATGTTAATTGTGTTGCGAGACTGTTAATCTATAATGACTCTACCTTGATCCTCTTTGAAATTCTGGGACAGGGGCCTCAACACTCGATCCTCTTTGGATTTGTTTAAGACTACCTCTCATGCTTAATCATTTCATTTAGCCCTCAATAATCTCTTATGCTTAATGCTGTTGTTGAACCTCTCAGAGCGTCCTGATTAGTAGTATTAAATTAATAATACAAAAAATATTAGCAAAACGATCTCAAGGTTTAGTCGACTTTCATTTAGTGGGTAATGTTGAATCAAATCAATTAATTGTTCAGCACCCCCTTTAATTTATTGAATTACACTTAATTACTCTACAACAGGGATTAATTAAGGTTAAAGGTTTGGAAATTATTTATTAAGAGAAGACAATGAAAGAGATCAACTATCCAGTAGAAGAAATCTTTCATTCTGCTTTGCTCAACGAGTAAAACAAATCTTTCTAATCTTCCTTTTCTGACACAAAACACAGAGTTCAAATGTTAAATTGAGACTTGTTGTAAAGTCAAGAATGTTGAATCCAAAATGATAGAGCCCACTAACTAATTGATTGAAGAAAAATAATGGTAAAGCTTGTCTGCCAACACCCACGTGAAGCCAAAGAAATATGAGTAAGCAGCCACAGAATTCTGCCTACATATAAGGCTTCCCCCTTCCTTTGACACACACACCATCCGAGAAGAAATGAGAGCGCAGGCAGAGAGGAAAGAAAGGAAGGAAAGAAAGAGGGTGAGTGAGTGAAGAGAAAAAAAGAGCAGAGAGAAAAGTCAGTGAGCCACGTATATTGTAAACACTAAAATTGTAGCCTTATTCTTTTATATAGTGGAAAAGTTACTGCTACTGCTCTCCAAGGACATAGGCAAGGCCGAACCTCGTTAAATATTGTGTCTTATTTACTTTACGTACAACTCAATATTTTAGCATATCCCGTTCATTTTACAACAAGATGGGCATTTTTTTATATATCTTAGCCAAAAAGGCTCTACAGCTTTAAGCCTTTAGCCCTAGTGTGTGTCCAAGTACTTTGTGACAAATGAATGGTGCTTTCTTGCGAAATTCTATAGTGAGGATGTTATATGTGGACTCCTCATGCAGACCTTCATATTAGTCAAATGATCATTTCATTATCTTAAGTAACATTACTATTCAGATGAATCATGTGGTTAATTAGCGATATATTGATGAAAATGTCAAAGATGTTTTAAATTATATCCTTATTTCATACAAAATTAGCCAATTAAGTAGAGATTAAGAAAAACCATTTTCTAAAATAGCCAATCCGCAAAACCAATGTACTAGATTAGCATGAAAAACATGCATTTGCAACAGAGCAAAAGATTGTCAATCTTCTTGATTCAGAGCCTTTGTCTAATTCACAAATGAATAGGTCACACGCTAGTAAAGTACCACCACATGTAACATAATTCTAGGTGTTCATCATTCTACGGGTGGGTACGGGGTCCTTGTCGATTCATTACTTCAATCACTCATTTGCAACAGAGCAAAAGATAGTCAATCTTCTTGATTCAGAGCTTTGTCTAATTCACAAATGAATAGGTCTCACGCTTGTAAAGCACCACCACATGTAACATAATTCTAGGTGTTCATCATTCTACGGGTGGGTACGGGGTCCTTGTCGATTCATTACTTCAATCACTCAACACTTACCACTTCAGGAAAAGTTGTTTGGTAATTGATACGTACCATCCTTGCAGGGTCGTCCCTGAGATTTTGAGGGCCCTATGCGAAAAACCATTTTCTAAAATAGCAAATCCGCAAACCAATTTACTAGATTAGCATGAAAACATGCATTTGCAACAGAGCAAAAGATAGTCAATCTTCTTGATTCAAAGTAGTCAATCTTCTTGATTCAGAGCCTTTGTCTAATTCACAAATGAATAGGTCTCACGCTTGTAAAGTACCACCACGTATAACATAATTTTAGGTGTTCATCATGCTAGGGGTACAGGGTCCTGGTCGATTCATTACTTCAATCACTCAACACCTACCACTTCTGGAAAAGTTGTTTGGTAATTGGTACGTACCATCTTGCAGGGCTGTCCCTGAGATTTTAAGGGTCCTATGCGAAACTTAAATTGGGGCCTCACATAATCTAATACGAAAATGCTATAAAAACTTGTCATAACTTAATGTCATACACAATTTTTTTAGAACAAAAGTCACCATCAATAAATATGTAATGACAATCAGAAATCAAATTCATAAAAATTTAAATGTTTCCATTTGATAAAGTTAAATGTTTGGTACAAAAATAAGCTCCTTGTGCCCCTATAAGGTCCCTTTCTTATGGCTGCTGCAGATTGGACACAGGCCAATATGGAAAAAATTAGAAAACCCATCCGCTCTCTCACTGCGCTTTCTTGGCAATATCCGAATGAAGGAGTGATTAAAATAAATACCGACAGGTGCATAAAAGGTGAGGATGGACGCATTGCTGCTGGGGGTGTACTATGGGATAGTTCTGGGCAGTGGATGAGAGGCTTTGCTGTCAATCTTGGTGTAGGACAAGTCTTGGAAGCTGAGTTATGGGGCATCTATCTTGGACTGAAACTTGCTTGGGACATAGGTTGCAGTGCAGTTGTGCTTGAGTCTGACTCAGCGACCGCGGTACACCTTCTTAACAAAAACTGGGTTTGTTCTATTCATCATGTATATCGTGAGTGCAACATGGTTGCAGATAAACTAGCTGAATTAGGTTCATGTCTTGAGTTGGGTCTGTCAACTTTCCAGGACCCTCCGGACAGTATTAGGTCCTTTCTTAGTGAAGATTTACTTGGAGTCTGTAGGCCTAGAGCCATTGTTTAATTTCTTTGTTGGTCATTAGCCCCGTTTCTTCACCCAAAAAAAAAAAAAACTATTACGAGAGCTTTTTCCCCAAAAGAAAAAAAAAACACAGCCAGTACAATACTAATGTCTGAAAATTGATCTTCTTGAATTTTTAGAAGAGAAATCATCAATCAAATGTTCATAATCAAGTTTTTCTAAAAGTTCACTTTCAATTGAAATCAAAGCTAGTCCGTGTAATCATTCTTGAGACATAGTTGATCACAAGTATGATTTTAACATTTTTAATTTTGAAAAATTTATTTCTGCAGATGCAACAGTAACAGGAATAATCAATAGGATTCTATATGCAATGAATGTATTTGGAAAACAATTTAATCTTTTCAAGAAATTTAATATTGCAGTGGCTGCGATATTTTCTTTTGGTAAAAGCTCCCCTAAAACTTTCAACTCAACAAATAAATCCTCCCCATCAACATCAGAAAACTTGTCATTTTTCAAAATGCTTTCCAGATGACTGCAACTATTCTTCAAATCGCAATCATCCAATGAATTTAACTTCTCTGAAGTAAACAAAAACCCAAAAATATTTTCATACTCTTGATATTGTTGAAACCTTCTCCGTAAAGAACCAATAGCTTGATCCACTAAATACAAGAAATAATCAATTCTAAACTTTTCTTCAGCTGATTCAGGAACTAATTGGGATGGCTCACAAGTATTCTCATCAAAAAAAATTTCTCTACGAATTTTTCGCTTCTCAAGAAACACCGGGTAAATTCCCATGTCAGTAGCAATTTCTTTAGCAGTACTCATAGCTTCTGTAAACCCATTTTCTCTATACTTTTCAAAAAAAATTAATCAACCCTTTCACTTTATCAATAACAACATCAATAAGCATGTCTTCAGATTGTAAGTTTTTGCTAACTACATTGACAGCATCTAACATATCATACCAAATAACCATCCCCAATAAGAACTCAAAATTTCCAAGTTCGTATGTTGCCAAAGAATTAGTTCACTTGTTATTTTGGAGTCACCGTCACTTTCTGCTAGTTGAAGTAAAGCTTCTCTTAAATATGGAGCTTGGAATCTTATTACTCTTACACTTTCAATACGACTTTCCCAACGTGTAACTGACAATGATTTCAGAGTTTAGTGTTTAACATTATCTTTCAATATCTTCCACTGCTTTGTAGAATTATCAAACAATGTATAAATACGTTGTATGACTCCAAAAAAGTATTTTGCTTTTCCACAAGAGTTTGCAATAACACAAAGTGTTAAATTAAGACTATGACAACCACAAGGTGTGTACAATGCTCTAGGATTTACATTCAAAAGTTTTCTTTGGACACCTTGGTATTTCCCACTCATATTTGATCCATTGTCATAGCATTGTCCTCTCACATTATCAATATCAAGCTTAAGTTGTTGCAACTCTTCAAAAAGTCCTTGTCCTGTTGTATCATTCACAAGCAAAAATTCCAAAAAGAATTCTTCAGTCTTTATTGGATTAGTAGAGACATCCACACATCTTACTATCAAACTCATTTTTGTTCTTGGTTGCTAGCATCTGGAGTACAATCAAGAATCACAAAAAAATATTTAGCTTCTTCAATCTTTTTAATTATTGCACTTTTGAGTTCAAAAGCTAACAAACGTATCAATTCATTTTGAATCTTATGACTAAGATAATGATAATGAATCTCTTTATCATCCATACATCAAATATGCTCTTTCATAACTGGATCCCACTTTGCAATCATTTTCACTGGGCCCATAAAATGTCCATTGTTAATATCATGGATCTTCTCATTACTTCCACAAAAAGCCAAACTATATTTTCCAATATATTTCACAATTGATCCTTGATACATCATCACTTTGGGAGAAGTATAATAAAGTGAACATAGTAGGCAGTCTTCTTTTCTCGAGGATTCTCGAAATAACTTGATGTAATCGGCATCTTGTGTGGCTTGTTACGAATTTTACTTAAAAGATCAGAACAAATTAAAAACATTAAAATATGTAGTTATAACCAACAAAAATAACATTAAAATGACAACAATTTAATTAAGTGGTTGAATTAATAACTTTGAAATCAAGTGATATTTTTGCAAAGATAATGTGGGAACCTAATTTTAAGCAAACCTTAGGTCAAATATTTCCTTCCATTTGGGGAATATTTGGAAATATTTGATTTGGGGATTCTTGCCTTGATTAGGGATTTGATTCGCATTAAATCCCTAGTTGATTTGAATCTCCTAAAATCAGAAAAATAATTCCTTTTCCAACAAGGATTATTTTTCTCCAAACCCTAACCCTCCGAGACTACTATAAAAGGATGGCTACGCACAAGGGTTGAGGTACGTCTAAAATCTCTACTGAGAGCACGAGATATACTCAAAGCGTGCTCCAAACCTACTTTTTCAATCCACCGAAGCCTTTCAAACAACCATGGTTGGAAGCAAACGCCTTAGGAGCAAAACCACGGCGACGGCGCACTCCAAAAAGGCCGAAGCCTCGCTGCCACCACGAGGTACAGCTGCTGCCAGCGATTTGCAGCAACCTCCCATCGCTGCCAGCATGTTCCAGCAGCTTCCCAGCGAGATCCAGCAACATCCCATGGCTGCCAGCGGGTTCCAGCAGCTCCCCAGCCAGTTTCAGCAGCCTCCCATGGCTGCCCCAGGGATTTCCAGCAGCGTCCCATGGCTGCCAGTGCGCTCCAGCAGCCCCTCGTGGCTGCCCATGCTGTCAGCTACGCAACCTCTCCAAACAACTGCTATAGCAACCAGAACGCAGCAGCAGCGGTGCCATGTGGCTGCTGAAATTGCAGCGCAGCCACACAGCCCTGTGGCCTCCTCCGTCGTGCAACCGCAAGGTCTAGGTGCCGGTGCCGCCACCCATGATAGTGCCGCCATTCGTAACCACCTCAATGCCATCTCGGACCATTCCTCAGTCTTGGAGCAAATCCATTCACTCCCTCCTTTGCAACTACACTTGACGTATGCACCCGTGTACACATCTAATGGAGCCCTAGCCCATACGTCATTGGGCCCGATCCACACCTCTTTACCCGACCTATGCAGTCAAGTGGGCCTTAATTCAAGGGTTGATCAATTCGCGCAAAGGGTCGACGATCAAAACAACCTAATTGGCCAACTACTCAGGCAGATCAACTTGAATAAAGGCCCTAACTTTAGAGCCCATAGCGAGGAGAGAAGGATCTGTGAGCATACTGGCGAGCATTTTAAGGGATCCCAGACTAGTCAGTCAGAGACAGACTGGCCGGGGAGAGAACAAGATCAGGCTGACAAGACGCAGACATCTGCAAGCCGTACTCTGAGTCGATCGATGATCCATTCAAGATTGGGCTCACAGGGGGCACGATTGTGTGACGAATGCAACGACCGACGCTCACTAACCCGCTCAAGAACCAACTTGCGGTGACAACTCGTGGAGGAATCTTTGCAAGCTCAATCCACCAATCTGCCTCACGGGCAGGGCAACAAGGAGGTCAACCTCTTCAAATCGACAAGGAAGTCAACCATCCCCTCCTGAATCACGAGGGTCGCCAACGTGATCGGCAAGCCATGTGCGCGGAGGAAGTCGAGAAGCCCGTAAACGACCGACTTCGTAACTTAAAGATTGGTGGAAATTTTGAAGATGCTCTGCGCAGGGAGGTGGACCAAGCAAACTCTACGCCTTTCACTGCCGAAATCGAGCAGGCTGCTCCCCCAAAGAGATTCTCAACTCCTTCATTCGTTCATTTCAAGGGGGATTCTGATCCCGAGAGCCATCTAAAGCAGTTCAAAAGTGCCATGATCTTCTACAAGGCCAACGATGCACTGATGTGCAAGGTGTTTACAATGACCTTGCTAGGAGTAGCCCAAGACTGGTTCTATACCCTGCCATCCAGGTCGATCAACAGCTTCAAGGAGCTAGCTTACGTTTCCACCAAAGAATACACTTCTTACCGGACAATCAAGAAGAACCCTGACCATCTGTTCAACATGCGCAAGAAGTACGATGAATCCCTCTGAAATTACATCAAGAGGTTCAAAGCATATAAGGCAAACATCATTGGATGTGACGATCGAATCGCGTCATCGGCCTTCAAAACGGGCTTGCCAATTGAGTGTGAGCTGTATCGCGAACTGACCATCTCTCCCTGCCAAACACTAGTAGAAGTCTTCACGACAATAGAGCGTTATGCACTTTGGGATGATGACCGGACCGCCGCAAAGAAAGCTGCCAAGCAAGCCGATCAACCGGTTGAGTAGGCAAGCCAAAGAAACTGCATGATAAAAGACAAGGATGGAGGCAAGCGCGGATTACAGCCTCAGGGAGGTGCTCAAACAGCTGAGAGCTACACCAAGTTCACTATCTCAATACAGCAGATCCTAGCCCAAGTAAAGAACATGCATTGGTTAAAGAAACCATCGTCTTCGAAGGGAAACCCAGCCAAGAAGGATACCAGTAGATACTGCAAATTCCATGAAGGGCACGGTCATTACACAAATGACTGCTTCGCCTGGAAAAAGCACCTTGAAGAACTGGTTGGAGACGACCATTGCAAGGAATTCATCGCAAGAGGGGCTATCCATCAAATCAAAGATCACGACGCAGCTACCAACGAACCTCCACCAAAAAATTCATACGGATCAGCACGATCCTTACCGACTCTAAGAGAACGAGCTGACCACCGAGGAACAGAAGAGAGAAAGATCATGCAAGCGACAAGAGTAAATCTCCCAAGCCGTCACCAGCTACCCAGTCATGGAAGACGATCTTGGCATCATCTTTTAAGGGAAGGAAGTTCCAAGACAATGGAATGCCCATCACCTCCGAAGGTACTATCCATGAAGCTCTTCGCCTACCAACTTGGCTCCAAGCAGGCGGCCAAGCCTTTTGCACCTCCGTTGAAAACAAGTTACTTTTGATGTTACTCCTGCAACTCATCTTTTTAGTTTAATAAAGCAATGTAGTCACACAGACATCAATATAAGTTCAAGCTTTTCTTTCCAATGGGGTGTTCACAAATGCAATCGACATGTCTCCGGACGTAAGCCAAACAGGCCACACTCATCGACACGTCTCCGGACATAGGCCAAACGGGCCACTCTCGTTGACACGTCTCCGAACGTAGGTCAAACGGGCAACTCTCGTCGACACGTCTCCGGACGTAGGCCAAACGGGCCACTCTCATCGACACTTCCAATGGGGTGTTCACAAATGCAATTAACACGTCTCTGGAAGTAGGCCAAACGGGCCATACTTATCGACACATCTCCGGACGTAGGCCAAACGGGCCACCCTCATTGACACATCTCCGGACGCAAGCCAAACGGGCCACACTCATCGACACGTCTCCAGACGTAGGCGAAATAGGCCACACTCATCGACACGTCTCCAGACGTAGGCCAAACAGGCCACTTCATCGACATGTCTCCGACGTAGGTCAAACGGGCTACTCTCATCGACACATCTCTGGACGTAGGCCAAACGGGCCACACTTATCGACAAGTCTTCAGACGTAGGCCAAACGGGTCATTTTCATCGACACGTCTTCGGACGTAGGTCAAACGGGCCACACTCATTGACATGTCTCTAAACGTAGGCCAAATAGGCCACTCTCATCGACACGTCTTCGAACGTAGGTCAAACGGGCCACACTCATAACACTTCTCCGGATCTAGGCCAAACGAGTCACACTCATCGTGACGTCTTTGAACGTATGTCAAACGGGCCGCTCTCATTGACATGTCTTCGGACATGGGCCAAACATGCTACAACCTAAGAAAAACATCCTATGAGATTTGCAGAGCATGCCCGGAGTCCCTTAAGAGGGACCCTGGCACTTACAAATTTCCCGAGGGAGACACACAATCAAGATACTGGCTAGTTACTCAAGCAGTTCACAAGTCAATACGCAAATTGAAGTTGAAAAAATAACTGAAATTTCGAAAGCAAACTGACCAACCGGCCAGGTTCAATAAAAAGAAGATGGTCAGATAAGACCAATTATTCTACACAAGAAAGCAGACTACAAAAGCTGAAAAGAAATAAAAGAGTTTTCATCTACTCTGAGGTGCCAACAGGAGATCCCTGGCCTACAGCCTCTTCGACGTCTGCCTGATCAGCCACATTCTCAGCAGTTCCACCTGCCTGATCCACGATGTTGGCCACTACCTCATCTGTTGCATCCTCCTCTGCTTCATCCTCTTCAACTACCATCTTTTCGATTGCCTGCTCTTCAGCTCCTCTCATGTTCACGACATTAACCTGCTCACTTTGCATAGGGAGCAAGTCATAATAGAGCATCTCGATGTCTTCATCTCCAATGACATAGAAGAGATCATTTCCATTTGTCTTCATCTCCAATAGCTCCGAACTTGGACTTTTCAGCAGACTTGTTATAGGCGTTAAATCTAGCTAGAAGCTTGTCATAACTAAAGGAGACGTCAGCATTCTTGGGCTCAAGACGAAAGTAGGCATATTTTCAAATAACCAAGTCAATAGCAGAAGAGGGGGCAACAGCAGACGAGTTT